ATTTCACTTTTGACTACCTCAACTCAACCATTACCTTCAACCCAAGCTCTAGTTTAGCAGTAGCTAGTTCTTATCTAGTAGAAGCCCAAGCTCTTCTTTCCTAGGCCTCTCATCAGAAACTAGCTGTCAGAAAGCTTCCATTTATGGCATGAAGATGACGTTTTCCTTATGACTTCTGTGTCTGTCATGCCATACCACCACTTGTACGCATGAGTAGCAATGTGATTATTGTCTTCCATACAGTCATGTAAACTGTAGTACTCACTACTGGTACCGTGCTCATGAGAACTAACATGACAGTTCATGGTTTCTCCCATGGTCAGGTCGTGTAATTACAGATTTGAATGGTAATAAACTGAGACTTTTTAAAATATCAACTTAATAAACCAATTACATTAATAAATTTATTTAGGATATCCGGAATCAAAGAAGATACAGACATCATCGGAAAGCTGAATTGGTGAAACTCCAGCAGACTTTGAATGCACTTAACTCCAAGACAGCATTTTATGAAGAACAAATTAATTATTACAACACCTATATAAAAACTTGTTTAGACAACCTAACTAGAAAGTGAGTTGAGTCGTCTTGTCTTTTAATATTTCAGTGTGTTTTATCGGGGGGAGAGCAGGTGTTAATCCATAGTTGAAAGTTTCGATTCCAACAAATTGACAATCCACAGATTAAAAGCCCATGGGTGTTGTCACTGTGACCTAAATCAAAATCTGGAAAGTAGCGTCTTGCATTTATTTAAAGCTGCCTTACAGAAAGAGGCCTGAGATGTATGGGTGTCTTCAATATATTTAATTGGTGCTACTTTGCAGATCCATTAGCACACTTTGAATTCATGCAGCTTTGGGAAGTAATTATTGATTTTCTTCCTTCATTAAAAGGACTTGGGTTTGTCTTTAGGATGGAAGAGGGGGAAATAAATGCCTAAAGATTCTACTTTTCAGGTATGATGCACTTACTCGAGAGCAAGCCCCCCTGCCAATGTCACTGAAGTGTCAAAATGAAAACACTTTATTGATATGAACAGGAGCTTTCACAGTGCATACCTCGTGGGTCCAAAAAATGAACTCTAATGGCCAATCTTATTTAACACCTATATCACTGTATGCTTACAAATTGCTATTTTAAAGTGACGATTGTGGACTTTTTTGGATCAGGGTTGCATTTCACAATGGAGTTTAAACAAGTGCCAAAAAACGTTGATTCAAAATAATTGCCAAAATGTTTAGACTATTCACTGTGTGCTAAAAATCTCTCTAATTCTTAGATTTGTTTTGAATGTTAATTCTGCTCATTAATAGCAGTTCAAGAAGGCAAAGAGTGAAGGAAAGCTAAATATGGCTAGAAGAGTAGTTGAAGTATCTACCTGGTAGATAAATCAAAAGCCATTTTTCTTGTTCTCTTCCCAGAAATTCACGAAGGTCAATTAAACTAGATGGAAAAGAGGAGGTGAAGGGAAGCAAAAAACTGAAGCAGGCCTCATTAAAGTACACAGCTGCAAGACTGCATGAAAAAGGTGTCATCCTAGAAATTGAAGATCTTCAAACCAACCAGTAAGTGGGACATAAAACAGTTCAGAGCATTTTCTAATCAACAGCTTCTTAAGGGGCCTGGCTTTTGTTAAAAGAAATCATTGTGATTTTCTGTGCCACACCTAAAATTACCTCAGACTTTTACACTCAGAAGAATGATAAAGCCTAATCATCACAATTCATTTTTTTTTCTTTTGTACCTTGCTATACGGTTACCTTGGGAAAATATTTTAATAAACCTATTTTGGCATTACCTTAGATGGAACTAGGACAAGTCCAGCAGCACACTGACTTGTTAAGCAGTCGTAGCAGTTATTTTTTTTCATTTACTGACCAATCACTTTCATGTAACTGAGTAAACACCTGGTTTTCTGCACTTTCTCACCATGGCAAGGTGAATGGATGTGGTGTTTTAACACCCCTTTTGTATCTATCCATTTTGAGGCCACTGTAGTGAAAATCTTCCATCCTCTGCACCCTTCCATCCGTCTTCTGCATGGAAAAACGTTTTGCAATTTTTTTCCCAATGGGTTCATCAGGTAGAGGAAGCCAGATGAGGCAAACTGAAACCAGAGAAGGGTGTGTACACATCTGCAAGGAGACACTCAGGCATGGCAGAACAAAAATCTGGCTGCCTCGTTCCTATGCTGTGGACATTTGGTCATCTTTGTTCCCGGAACTTCCTACAGCCCATTTTTTTTTTTCCAATATAAAAGACTTGAGAGCTCTGTATTCCATGCTATATGTACACCAGAAAGTCTCCAAGAAGACATTGCAGTAGGGATGGAGTGGTTCATTTGACACCATTTACACTGCTTATGGTCAAAGTTCTTTTGTGTTCTGCATGCTTTTTCGCCAAAACTGTCTCTGGACTATATAAAACCACACAGCATACATAATCAGTTACCCTTCTTTTTGTTTTGAGGTTTAAGAATGTGATGTTTGATATCACACCTGGAGAAGAAGTGGGCGACTTTGAAATCAAAGCAAAATTTTTGGGGGTTGAGATGGAAAAAGTGCAGCTCCATTTCCAGGTAGAGTTTGAATTTCGTTACTTTGCTATATAGTCACTGTTGCATTTCCTCTAAATATAAACTATTTCAGATTTTTTTATATGTATTCATGAACTATTCAATCAGCATAGAGCAGCAGATCATGAGGAGAATAACTATATAACTTCCGTAGGATGGGTACAGTCACTTTAGTGTTTATATTAGGGCAACTGCATGAAACCAAATGCCACATTAGTTCAGTGGCAAGCAGCAACTATCAAGAGAAGACTAAAAGACACAGAAAACAGTATTTCTACTGGTTCCTGACAGTCTACGATTTGAGATCTAGAGGGCATGTAATGTTTTCTACACCTATCCACTAGTTGCTTGTAATTGTTTAAATTGTGAAGGACCTGCAGTTTGAGATGGTTATCACATGATGAAAATGACCCCATCTTGTTGCTGTAAGGTATGGATTCAAAGAGAGACTAATGATTTTTACTTCTGATTACAGGATTTGCTTCAGATGCAGTATGAAGGTGTGGCTGTAATGAAAATGTTTGATAAAGCTAAAGTGAATGTGAATTTGCTTATATTCCTGTTGAATAAGAAGTTCTATGGAAAATGAGTGTCTTCAGATATCATGGACTGCAACTATCAGTGGGAAGTCTATTCAGTATTTGTTTGCTTTTAAACTTTACTTTGAAGTTTTTCATTGGATGCTTTTTAACTTTAAAAAAAACCCTAAACCACCAAATGTTTGGAGGAATGTACGTGGTGCCTTTTAGCATTGATAATGAAGCAGAAAAATAGGAAATAGATTAATTTAAACAGTTCCAGATCTCATTGGTGTTGGTACCTTAAAATCAAGATATTGTTTAGGACACACAACGATTGTGGTTGTATGGATATTAAGGCAGGCAGAAATCGATTTTAGTTGAATATATAAACCTCTTCCTATTAAAACATTTTTAAATGACCTCAGATATATTATATAGTTCTTATTAGACTTTAAGTATTTACCAAAAGAAATCCTAATTTGTTTCTAGGGGATAGCTTGGGCAACTATTTAGTTACATACTAAGCCTATTTTCTGGCAGTTGTCAATTGTAAAGCAAACTTATTGTGCAATTCAAAAAATTTTATAGGTAATTATAAAGTGACAGTAACGTCTTACTGTACAAAAATATATTTTGTGATTCATTCCTACTAAATGCACTACTGCCTCATGTAAAATGACATTTTCTACTTTCACAGCCTTCGGAGTGGCATTGGGGAAATCTGAATAGTCGACAGTTGCTGTTCAGTTTGAAGTATTTGAATACGTAAATTGTACCTGTCTATGTCTTTTTTGTAAGAAAATAAATGCCATAAAATCAGTATTTAGATTTTTTTTTTTTAAATATTCTTTGGAGATTGTTCTATATGAAATAAACATTACCTAATAAAACTGGCTTGGTTTCTAAATTTCATTTAAGAGTCATTAAAGCAGCAATCCAGATGGCAGTGAAAGAACTTCTTTCATTGCTTTTATAAAATTGAATCTAATTAAGCTTGATTGTCCTCACAGTACACTTTGGGGAGGTTGCTCAGCAGTGAAGACTTCATGGCCCTTATGCCTTTGAACGTGATGACGATTTTGCTGATGAACTACCAATTATATTTACAGAGAAAAAGTGTGTACAGTAGGTAATGTAATAAATACATAAACCAAGAGGAAAATATTTCCTACTCTCACCTTCCTCATGACAAGCATTTTAAAAGATGGTCAGTGATGCATTCTAGAATGCATTGTGAAAACAAATATTAAACAAATATTAATTCTGAAGGTGGAATAAAACAGTGTAAAGTCAGTGGCAGGTATATAGACCATGAGTTTAGTTGGTATACTGACCTGTGGTATTATACAAGCTGAAAAAATGGTTGCACTTACTACAGTATTCACTTATGCATGGCACTAAATTTGAACACTTGACTGCTTTAAAACAGTTAATATCCCTAATTAAAAGATAAACAGCTCCTATGTGCTTCCATTTTTCTTCTAGCTAGTTATGTGTAAGCCATTTTAACATGACAGAAATTCTGCAGTATTAATGACCCGTTTCACTTAAAATAGCTGGATGGGAAGGTGAAAGCAGCACTTTTACTTCCGAAGGAGAGAAGTTAATTGTACTTGAATACAAATTAAACTCACAATCTTTTGTTCCCCCTTTTTATTTGTAACAGACTTGACTAATCCTTACATATTTTTTTTACAAATTCTAGCTCAGTAGGTGAGTCTGCACAGGTGGGATGTTGATCCGAAGACCAGACCTTTGAGGTAATGTGTCAAAAGCCTGGAGTCCTGCTGCTGAGACATACTAGAGCCCCACAGCATTTGTTGGGAGTAAGTCACTCCTGGATATGCTGTTTTATGTAACACACTTGACACATCTAGTGGCTGCTTAGTTCTAATGCAATCAGCATGTTCCTCAGCTATTTCCTGATGTACGCAAGCTTAGGAAAGCTTATTTGGTTCCCAGGTAAGGACATGTATGAAAGACACTGTGTGCTAGCACTCATGTTCCAATCATTTCTGGGGCTTCCTGCTCTTCTAGTGCACATCAAAGTGTAATTTCCATTTAATTTCTTTAAACTCCTTCAGAAGCTTTTTTCCTAATTAACTAGTTCAGTTTAGGGCCTTTGTCACTGAACAAACAACGAACCCTGCTAAACAGGATGGACCTCAATGATTCCGACCTAAATGTAAGACAGATGGTAGTACCAAGTACCATGCAAATGAGCAAAGTAATTCTGTGCTGGGTGAGCTGTCCTATACCACTGACAGCTACTAAATGCAACAAAAAAGAAAGGTTTTTTTGGAGGCTGCTGTAAGCTGCAATTTAGGGTCTTCAAAGTTAGATAGGACTGGATGAAACCAGTTTCATTCATGAAACAGTCTTGTGGAAAGACTTGCATTGCTGGTGCAAAACCTGAGGAATAAGCCAGTACAGCGGAATAGAGCCTATGCATCAGTTGTCACCATAGGAGAAAATGCATCTTTCCTTTAAAGACTTGCCTATCTCTTAACTTTGTCTTCCTTAACCAGTGGTAGTGAAAAGCTATTATAATAGGCAATAGTCTTAACCTGTTAGCCCCACAGTTTGCATTTTTCTACTGCATCTCTTCAGAGTTGACTAAGAGTGCTTGGCAGCTACCTGAGTTTATTTTGGAACTTAACCATTCTGATGGGGCTCCAAAACTATCCACAAAATTGCAGAACATCTTTCTTCTTTGGCCAAGCAGACAGAAATACCGTCACAAGCAATAGCTTTGTTCTGTTTCACTTTGTGCTTATCTGCAAACCTTCTTCTTTAGCTGTCTTTTTTAAAAAGAATACAGGTGCAACACCCTCTAACAGCAAATCCAAAGAGCAACAGTCACATCTGATTTCAAAAAGTTCATAACTAGACAGTCAACCCTCTTCCTGGAGGACTGATTTTGCCTCTGAGATATGCTTCTAACCTCATCCTCTTTGAGCAGTAACTACCCACCCCAGGCATGCACTAGGGTAATCCATGTATGCAAGAGCAGAAAGCTGGCTTCTTCACCAAACAGTAATGATGTACCAATCTTATGAGATAGTTGTAGGCTTTTTTGGTAGACCTAGCGTGTTTAACAGGAATGAAATTTCATCCTGTAACACGCTTCTGCCAAAACACAAAGCTCTGAAAAAGGTGCAGGAGGTAGAATTAAAAAGTGGTAACTGGTAAAAGCTTTAGAAGTCATGAACCTCCATTACAATCAGTTTATCTACAGAGGAAGTAGCAAGCTGACTTTCATAACTACAGGATACAAAAATTAACTTTGTTTCCTATATGCGGACAGAAAATTTAACAAACACACACAGGGTTTTTTTTTGTTCACTTGCTATATTTATAGTAATCTAATTTACAAAGATGAAAGGATATAGCCCTATCACTATTCCTTATATCTGCAACTAAGGTACTTCCTGCAGATACAATCTGCGTTTCCCTTCATATCTTTCATGAATTCTGTAGGCTGGTTTATCCCTCAAGCACTGGCCCACTGGTTAGGGCTTCTTGAAACTTAAGAAATACAAATACTTAAAATCCATGTTTTTCCAAGGTCTGGTATAACATACACATTTATTTTAAGAAAGACTGATATTTAGTTCACTTCTATTTTGGGTTTAGAAATTGAATGCCCAAGAATAGCTTCACTTTCTGTTCCCACAGAGATGAAAAGAAATTATCTCTGATTAAGCTACTTCCGAAATAGATGAAGAAGAATAGTTCATTATTAAGTATAGGTGTTTTGTGTGGGTTCCTGAGTGTGTTTGGGATGACAGAGCTGTAGGAAGGCTGGCCAGCTGTAAAACTTGTATTTATTACTGCCCTTGCTCTACACAAATTGGAGTCAACCTTAACAGTGCTATAATGTAGCAAGTGGTAGGATTGTGGGAAGAATATCATAAACACGTAAAACTTACTGGGAACCAGTACTTGCCATCAGGAGTATTTATTTTCCATGTTTTTTACTCTTAGTTAAGAGCAAAGGTCAGTGCTTCTGCAGTAATAAAGGCACTTCATACATACGAACAAGTTCTAAACAAAGCTTTCCTCCCCCTTTTTTGTCTGTATTGCCGTAAACAGGATATACAGTTGAGGACGGAACAGCATACCCTGGCAAACCAGAGTGCCCATTTGTAAAGCTTTTGACTGTGTTACAGGCCTAAGAAATACAAAGCACTCAAACCACCAGTGGAATACATGTTTTCAAAGAAAGACCCTAGATCATAGCTGCATATTTACCAAAATATTTTCCTCTATAGCTTTCATATAGGTTTCAGTTCAACCAGCTCTTGATTCATGAGCAGCTCTGAAGGACAGAACAAGCTTTCCTGTCCAAGGCATGCGCCACTGGAGTTCGGGAGTGGCACCACTTCCTCGGGGGTCTTGCAAGAACAGACAGAAGGACTGCAAAGCTGGGTAATGAATCACTTTTAGGTTGTCCTGCATTTGTAGAGCCATCAGCTGACTGAACCCATGGAATACAAGCAAGCTTTGATGTTGTCTACTTTATACAAAGCAGATCTACGTATTAAGGAGCTTTTCTGAATGAGCGTGATCTTTCAGTTATGAGTAATGCAGGTATTTCAGCTGGCCTTGTAACTGTGCTCCTGTGGGGCATTACCAATTTGGATTGCACAAAGAAAATTTGGCAAACTTAGCTTAGAATAATTCCTTGAGAATAACCCTTTGTTCTGCACCTCCTGCCTTCTCACCCTGCCCGAGCGCACGACCCCTTCCCATTTCTCAGCTGGGTGCCAGCCCTTTCTGCCGTCGTTTTCGCAGCGCGGGGGCTGCTGGCCGGGCTGTCGTGCCGCGGGGGCGGCGGGCCCTGCCCTCCCCCC